GAACCCAGGCGGTCTGGGCTCTTCAACATCGTGCTAAGCTGCTCGGCCCTTGGCAGGGCTGGAGAGCCGGCGAGGAAGACGCCTGCAGACCAGGCATGGAGAATCGTGCTTTTTCGGGACTCACAGAATGCTTTGCTGAACTGGCCTCCCGAGGCCTGAAAAGACGGCCTTTCAGAAACTCACCTCCAAGCCTCCCTTCTAAGGTCCTCCTGTCCTGAACCCTCAGCAACGCCTCTTTAACACCTTGCCCTCTGCAGCTTATTGTCCTCCTGGCAGACAGAACAAGCCTTTTAAAACCAAATCATGTCATGCCGCTCCTCTGCTCAGAATCCCCAGCAGCTCCCCATCTAACGCAGGGTTAAGGCCAAAGTCCTGACAACAACCTCCAAGGCCCCATCCAGCCGGATCAGCCTCGCTGCTGTTGCTCCAACACAGTGCACGCCCTCCTGCCCCGGGGCCTTTGCACCTGTTGCTCTCTCTGTCTGGAATGTGCTTCCCCCAACAATGACGGCTCAGCTCAGTCCCCTACTTCCTTCAGATCCTTGTTCCAACATCACCTTCTTGATGACGCAATACTCCTTCTGGCTCTGCCAAGCCCGCTCCCTGCTTCTCCCCCACAGCACTTTTCATCATACGACATGCCACGTATTTTTACGCATTTATGATGTCTCCTCCACTCCCGCTAGAGCATCAGCTCCACCAGGCCAGGGGTTTCTGTCTGTTTTGCTCAGCGCTGGATTTCCAGCACCGAGGTCAGACCCTGGCACTCAGTAGGCCCTCAAGAAATATTTGTGGAATGAATGAATGAATGAGACTTGGTCTTATCAGGTCCTCCCCCAGCCCACTCTCCCGTCTTGTGAGCCGACTGGTACACAGAGCAAACAAATGAGCCCTTAACCCTTTCCATCCCTGGTCTCCTCATCTCCGAAATGAGAGGACTGGAGAATTATCGAGAGTCCTTCCAGCTCGGAAAACCTCCAACCGACCAAAAGAGGCATAACTCTTCCCGACGGCAAGGCTGTAGCTCCATTGCCTTGATTATAAAAACTGCCTTTCCTTTCGAATTTTCGCTGTGAAGCCCCCACAGCCCCCATGCCTCTTAGCATAAGTGAGGTCTGGCTGTGGTTGTGCGACGTGAGTTGTCACCCGCATGGCAGGGCAGCACGAAGCTCAAGTGCTGGGATGGCCGGTCTCCTAAAACCGACCCAGGCCGGGTTACAGGGAAGTAAACCAAACCACACTCGGCTGTGTCTTAGGATCAGAAACACCACCTCGCCTCGTCCCTCTCAATTAAACACTAATTCCTTAGCAGCCCAGGCTGTTGGTTTTGGGGTTCAGCCAGAGGCCCTCTGGAGAAGGAACAAAATGAGGTGTTCCGGGCCAAAAGGAAGGCGCTGGCTGGGATGAAGGCAGACCCTGGTGTGATAACGGAGGATGCCGCGGCACAGCTGGAGCTGCGGGCGGAGGCCACGTCAGAGGGTCGGGCTCCTTCACAGTCACTCCCGTCCAGGGCTGTGTGGCCTGACTGACTTCAGGGGAGTCTCAGGCATTTGTGTCTCCACCGGCCCCACTCAGGGACTGAATGAGTCGAATGCTCTAGACAGTGTCTACACGTCCAAACCCCACCTAACCCAAGGCCAGGGTCAAATCCACCAGTGGGGTTGGCTGAGGCCTACACTAAAGTTCTCCTGACGTTTAACGTATAATTAATCCACTTCTCCGACGGAACGCTGGGTCACTATACTATAACTATACTATACTATATAGTATACTATATATACTATATACACTATACTATAACATTGGTCTTTCAAACGATGCTCTCTGAGCTTTAACTGCAGAAGCCATATAAATTCACCAGGGGACTTCTTCACAGTTCTGCCTTCTTGACAGGCCCTCAGCCTCCGGCGGGGTCCCCAGGCCCTCGCAGGCTCCTAACGTCTGGTAACTCATCCCCCGCATATCGAGGAGCCAGGAGGGCACGGCGGTTAAGCACAGGCATCAGAGAAGTCAGACCTGGGGGGCAGCCTGGCTCTACGACTCTCCTCCAACTGGGCAGCCTGAGCCCATACACCTCTCTGGGCCTCAGCTTCCTCATCTGGAAAGTGGGAACACAAAGACCACGTCCCTCATAGGGTGGTCATAAAGATTACATAAATTAACAGTAAGATAATATGTGTAAATCACTTAGCTCAGAGCCTGCCACGAATGGTACCATAAATGGCAGTCATTATCATTAGAAATTTCTCCTTTATGCCTCCTTGAGCCACACAGTCCTGAGGTTTGTGCTGGCCCTTCCTGGTATACAATCTGGCATCATGGTAATAACAGGGGGTTCCACCACTGAGTACATGCAAGTCTTGGCTAGTTAGGGAGAGCAAACAGACGCCACACATGCCACCTTCCCCTCCCCTGCCCTGGGCAGGCATCTCTAATCAATCTCAGCATTCTTCTCCCTCTGACTGTGGCCGTGGGCTAATAAGACTCAATTCAGAGCTTCAGGCAGCCACGACTACACTGGGGGAAGCCGCCTGCTGTCTTCTGATCTGCTGTGGGAGGGATTCAGGCACTAGACGACGAGGGCAGGGACCTCATCCGCATGAGGGTCACGAGGAAAGGATCGAGTTTGGTCCATGTTCACTGCTGTAAGCCCCGCACTTTGGACAGTGCCTGCCAAGTGGCAGACACTCAACTATGTGCTGGATGAATAAATGAGCAGCTAATCCATCTGAGTCCAGAGCACACGGGACTGGCCTGACCCAGCAGGTGCTGGAGGAATGTGGGAGGACAGTGGGCAAGGCTGGCCAGACCCTCACCTGACACAGCATCCTTGGCTTCGGCAGGTTCAAGGCCTGACACAGCCAGTCACTCATCACGTGACCTGAGCAGGCAGGGCCTCTCTTCCCCATGTGTGCAATGAGACGGAGGGACCAGACAAGGCCCAAGGCCCCTCCAGTCCTGACATTCTGATCCAGGAAGCACTTCCAGGCACCGCCAGTCAAAGGACGCCCACTGCCCCACAGGCCACAGCCTCAAATGCTGTTCTTGCAGAAAACCCCATTCCCAGGGGCCCAGGAGAGAAACACAGGTGCTGGGCAGCTGCTGGCCATGTGGGTCACCGCCTGCGTTCACAGCCCCAAGCCCGTCCACTCCTCCTTTCCAGCCCACACTCCCAGCCCCCTCATCACCCCACATCCTCTGCCCTCTCAGTGTAGGGTACCCATCCCAAAGACACTCACTGAGCACCTTCTAGAACCCAGCCCACCTCAGTGAACAAGACAGACGTGGTCCCTGCCTACGGAGCCGCCACTCGAGAGACGGGGAAAGTACACAAATCTACAGAGTGTCAACAGGCCATGAGGGACACAGGCCACAGGAGGGGGAGGAGGGTACCCTGAAGAAGGGGTCAGGCAAGGCTTCTTTGAGGGGAGGATGCAATGAAGACCCGAAGGATGAAAGGGCACCAATCATGGGAGGATCAGAGGAAGAATATTCCAGGCAAAGGGAACAGCACTTGCAAAGGTTCTTAGACAGGAATCAGGAGGTTGGCAAAACACAGCCGTTTACGTTTTTACATATTAACCATGACGCTTTCGCATTATACTGGCAGAGGAGAGAATGTGCCACAGAGACGGATGGCCTGTGAAGTGTGAATATTGACTATCTGGCTCTTTACAGGTAAAGTCGGCTGACCCCTGGTTTAGAGTGTTAGATAAACAGAGAGGTGGTCAGGGCAGCGAAAACGGACTGAGCAAGGGGGAGATGGACGCACAAGGGGACTGGGGAGGTGGGCGGGAGCCAGGCCATGCTGGGTTGTGTGGGTCACAATGGCCTCCAGCCTGGGATCTTGGCCTCCATTCCACCAGCCTCCAACCCACCCTGCAAACGGTTGCCATGGTGATCTCCCCGAAACCCAGAGCTAAACATGCTACTCTTCTCAAAGAATTGCAAGGGCACTCCATGGTTTCCCAAAGCGTGTTCCAAGGAACACTCGCTCCATGGAACGAAATTCAATAAGAAAGTTCCACGGTTAAGTCAGTTTGAGAAACATGGCATTCTCACTTCCTCTCTTGGATGTTCTCAAGCAAGCCCATGAGCACATGAAAGGCTCTGAAAAGCCCCACAGCAAAGAAATCTGTTGACTTCAACTCACTGTCCTTTAAACTTACTTGGCCACAGAACCTCTTTTTTCCACAAAAATCTGTCAATATTTTAAAGAACGAGCATTCCATGGGCTAAAAGGCAAACTCCTCTGCTCGGCATTCGCCATCTTGATTTTGTGCATGTGGCCTGGGGAGCCATCTCTCTCGTCTGTCCCTTGCCTTCTTCCTGCCTCCAATTGCCCCAAACAAAGGTCATTTGGCCTCTCCAGCTCTGTTCCACCTAACGGAACAGCAGCAGGAACAGCACTGACATTTACCACCTGTGCCACTGGTGATGGGCGTCTGCTACCTGGGCCTGTCTGGTATCTCCTTCCCCCATCTTTGGTAATGACAGCCTGGCTTTCCTTTGGGGACCACCCCTCCCCCACCTCCTGCCAGCTCCAAGGGTGAGGACATACCCCTGGTCTGGCTCAGCAGAATATTCCATCCTCCTGCTTTGGAGTGACTGTCAGGGTAACGAGGACAGGACTGAAGCCGGGCCAATGAATTCCGGCCTAGGAAGGGACTGGCTCCCTTGGAGTTCGCAATGCAGTAGCTGGGATGGTTTCCACGCCCAGGTCCGTTTTGTGCTTCACCCCTAAGTTCTCCCCAGCCCAGGATTGAGCCATCCTTAGATTCCAGTCACAGATGCCCACAGAGGGCACCAGGAGTGCTGGAAAGCGCTGCCCACAACCTCACATCTTCCAGGCAAGTACGGACACTTCTCAGCCAAGGCAGGTGGCCTGGCCCATCCACTCTCTCACGTGGAAGGTGAGGACCAGAGAGAGGCGGCTGTTAGCAGTTGAGACCAGGGAGAGCGAGTGGGGTACGACAGGGGACAAGGGAGGGGGCGTGTACCTGCTCGCTGTGCTTTTCCTTCCAGCTGCACTGGCTCCGTCAGCCTGCAAAAGAAACCCAAAACACCTCCATCAGCCAACGGAGAAGACACAGATTCTACCCAATGCTACCCCACCAAGGTCCTGCTCAACACCAGCCTTCAGACAGACAAGGGAGCTGGTCACAAACCCCTGCTCCATTCCTCCAGGCTGGAAAAATCCACCCCAAGTGGTGAGAAGGAGTCAGGATATCCCTCCCACCCCATTCACTTGGCCCTTTAAATCCAGCTGCGCACCCATTGCCAACACAAACCCAGCAACCACAGAGCCCCGGGGACTTCGTGAAACGTAAGTAACCAGCTAAATCTGAGATTGAATTGCACCATTTTTATTTTCAGCTGGGATTTCCAATAAAACAGTAGCCACAGATTTATTCCTACCGACCAGAGGGGGAAAATCCTATTATGTTAAAATATTCTGTCCCCCAACCCTTCGAGCAGGGGAGGCAAGAGGAAGCGGGTTCTTAATCTCTTTTATTTGGGGGTGGGGGATGGGGGGATAAGGCCTGACCAAATGAAATTTTCAGAAATCATAAAATTCTGGTTCCGATGGAGAGACTGAGGCCGTGGATGAGGAGGGAGCCGCCTGAAGTCTCATGAGGCCTGAATGACAAATGTCTGGGTCCCCAGCTTCTCAGCCAGTGCTGGGGGACCTCTATGCAGAGGCTGAAGGAGGCCAGACATGGAAAGAACGCCTGGGTTGTCCAACACCAGTGGCTGAAGATGCCTTCTCTAGCTTTGTCAAAACATTTATATAATAATAACAATCGTGGTTAGAATAATGTAGGTCACAACGCCAGCATACACGTGTTTCCAAATTCAGAATCTTTCCGATTTTAGAAAGGTAACGTAGCGCATGTGTTTTACATTTTCAAACAACCTTGGCAGGGTCTGGGGAGCCCCCAGAACTCAGGCATGTTGATGTTTCTACAGTGAAACTTCGGCAGTCAGCCCTCCGCAGGATAAGCGAAGACCACAACCAGCCTCTTCTCCCTGAGGTCAAGTTCCGCCGCCTCATCAGTTACCAAAAAAAAAATCTTTCTGTTCGTTTTGAAGTTTTTCTGAATTTCAGGATTGAGGACCTAAAATCAGAACTGCTTTAGCTGCCTTTGGATGAGCGCTTAGGAGAGGCTGCAAACTGGCAAAAGCAGACGGCAGACTTCCACTCAGACAGTCAATATATAAAAATAAAGGGATTTCACCCAAAAGGGGCCAGATTTCAGCTTCTCTTTAAAAACCAGCAACACACATTCCCACATGGCCACAGTCCGCTGGCACTGACATACCTGGTCTCCAGTGCCCCCCCCCCCCCCCCCCCCGCCTTATACCCAGCCCTCAGGCCTGGCCCCTGTGGGTATCCAGACTCAGTCCCCCTGGCTAACTTCTCAGCGGGCGCTAGCGTACGGGCATTAAATGCCTCTCACTTAGTCCTCTGGATAGGTCCCCCAACACACACACACAACATCCCCATTTTATAGGTGAGGCACGGCGGGTCAAAGAATTGGAGTGGTTTATCCAAAGTCCCACAGCGACAAGCCCAAGGTCAGGGTCACACCGATGCCCACCTTCCTCAGCTCTGGGATAGCGGATCCCATGCCAATGTTCAGGAGCACCCATCAGGAAACGGGGTGAACCCGCACAGCCCCACTGCCCACACGAGGGAAACGGGAGGGTGAAGGACACAGAGAGAGGGAGAAATCTGAGCCCGGGAGGGAGAAATTAACAGGATGCCCGTGTATTATTTCAGTGGAAGAAACAAGAAAGCAGAAAACGGGTTTGCGTATCATTTCACTGGGAGCAAATGAGCGGGATCAATGACAGCCTCTTTCCGACATCTTGCCTTGCTCAAAACTCATCTGCACAGCCAACGGGAAGCAGTCGTTTTAACGTCCATGTCATAAGAGGCAGGAGTGGGAGGGGCTGGAAATTCTGCCCCAGAGAGCTTAAAACAATTGTGAAATCCCAGATGACCTCTCATCTTTCACTCTCAACTCTGGGTATGTATTTCTAGCATTTCATACATATTTTTCATGTTGTCTTTTCTTGCCCTTTTTCTTTACAGTTTCACACAAGGGTTGACCAGCTCAAGCGCAGGGAACATGTGACTGGGTAGGGGGAAAGCTTCTGTTTTTGGCACACCTAATCACGGCCACCTGTGTGTCCCTTTTCTTACCTTTATGAGACTTGAGCTTCTCAGCCCTGGAAGCAACACCCATTTTTGTTTTGCACCCATTTCCACAAAATGCGAAAAACGTTCAAATCGTTATCTAAACAAATCCTTTTGCAGAACCATAGGTGGCAGGAGTGAGGAAGCGGAAGTGCTGGAGGGAGGGGTGCCACCTCAGCAGGGTGTGAAATGTCCCTTGATTGGCAGATACGGGAAAGCGGATACGGATAGGGGTGTCAGTGGACAATGGACTCAAGGGGAAGATGTCCAAGACGGCAGGTGTCAGTATCACAGCACCCGTCAATCACAGCATTCGGGCCTGGCTGAGTCCGGCCCCACCATGACAGGGGACCGCCTCTCGGGCCCTCCCAGCCCCAGCTGAAGGCCACAGTGTGATTCTGTCGTAGAGATCCATAAGACACCAGGCCAGCTGTGCATCCTCACAAATACACCACAGCGATCCCTAAATTCAGGTGAACCTCTCACACTGCCATTTTCCTAGGCCGAAAGAGTCTAATACCAGTAATCTCACATGGTTCAACCTAAACCACAAACTCACTGTCACCCAGTATAACCCCACCTGATTCTCCATTTGGCCTGAAGTTTAAGAAGATGGGGTTTAGGGTCAGACTGTGTGAGCTCGAGTCTTGGTTCTGCCGTTTTCTAGCTGTGTGATCCTAGGCAAGTCACTGCACCATCAAGGCCTCAGTTTCCTCATCTGCAAAATGGCTCCATGCTCATCCTAGGACCTACCTCCCAGGGCTGGCATGAGACTCAAATAAAGTAACATATGTAAAAGTACGTAGCATGGGCTCAGCTAGCATGACGAGAACAATCATTAACAATACAGATGCAGTTATAAAGGCCACCAGTTATTGGGTCCAGGAAACCGAGGCACAGAAAAGCGGAGTGACTTGTACAGATGACTCAGTGGATGTGAGAGCAGCAGAGCAGGCCTGGACTGTGCCAGGGGTCCTGCCAGCCTGTCTCGGGCCCCATCTGAATCCTGTGCTGCAAGTTGGCATCTCCTAAGCGTCCATCAGCCCCCATAGCCCTGCGGCCTTCTCCAAAGGGCCGGGAGAAGGACACTGGATACAAAAATGGAGGTGAATTACTAAGCACAGGCTTAAGGAATGGAAACTCTACTGCTGCTGCCGCTGGACCATGTGTCCCTAAGGGATGCAGCTTCCTGCCCTGGCCCTGTCTGGGTCTCACTTTGAACCTGGGGCAAGCTCCTTCTTTTCCCTGGACCTGAGGTTCTCATAGGTGAAAATGGGGACAGGAGGCACAAGAGTTAAGTCATATCATCTCCCCACTCCCTGTCATCTCTGTCACTCTATGTGGAACTGACCCAACCTTAACCAAACCTCTACGGCAAATGAAATATGGTGGAGGACAGGGGGCCCAGGAGAGACCTTCCTTCTCACTCTTCCACAGGTGGAGGTAAATATATCTGGCCCCCCCGCCCCCCAGCTCCCCATAAGGGTGCCTGCCCCCCTTTTCCACACCCAACCATTCCTCCTACACCAGCTTCTCCTTAGGACCCGGGCAAGGCTATTTTTGGTTTCAGTCAATCCTCCTCTTCCCTCCCAAATGAATGTTAAGTTGTTCTTTTCCATTCTCTTATTAAGGATTTTCTTGGAAAGAAAATATTATTCCAAACCCAGAAATTTTATTTCTAAATTTGTGCAAATGTAAGTTGTAAGACATTAGCTGCATTTCACATTTTGTGCAAATGGCAGAAACAGGCAATTCGTGTGCTACGGGATGGGGGGCTGGCCAACGATTTCGATAAAATAAACCCTTTTTTAATTTAAATGCTAATGCACTGAATTAAAATTTAATAACTGAGGAAATTGAAAAGCCGAGCAGGAATATTGGAAATAAATCCAAGCAGAAACAGCTGAAATTAAAAATTCTACAGAGTGGGAGGATAGCAGCTAAGCTGTCTTATATGATTACATTTTTTTTTTTTTTCAGAATGAAGCAAAAAAAAAAAAAATCCTATCTCTCGCTGGCTCTAGGGCAGTAAATCCACAGTGCTGTGATTTATTGCTCAATTTTCCTGAGGGAAAAAGGCTTTCTTTCATGCTGAAATATTTCATAAATTTCAAGCCAGCATAAATTCTTAATTTAAAAGTTATGGAGGTCACATTTAGTGCACTGGTACGGTTCCAAAATCTTAAAGGAATAGCAGCGACCAGAAAAAAGCAAAAAGGAGGGGTAGGATTCACTCCTTTTTTTTTTTTTTTTTCTTTTTTTTAATTTTGGTTTTAATTCACGAGTTGAAATTTCGTGATTAAAGATCCCTCCTGCATGGATGGAAGCCAAACACGTGGGGGAACTGGTGTCTGTTTGGAAGTCGGCTGCAAAAGATGGAGAGATAAAGACTTAATTCAATTATAAACAGGCATTTTTTTTTTTTAAAGCCACTTGAGGAATTTCTGGTAAAAATTTCCTCCCTTCATTGCCCGGGAAGGGGTGAGGGTGGGGGAGGGTGGCCAATGTAATTGCTTCTCTTAGATCTCCAATCTTTTGTGCACACTGATATATTCATTTGTTATACAGCTGTTCAGCGGCGGAAAGAATGCTGGGGCGCCCATAATTCTAAGCAAATCAATCAAAAATTAATGATTTGTCATGCTTGCACAATGGAGGAAAACAGCTCCTTGGGTCCTGGCTGCCTGATCTCGAAGAATGAAACGCCTTTCTGCAATAAGAGAGCCGAGCCAGAGGCTCAGGGAGGCTGAAGTGCCACCGCAAATATAGGGACTCACGGTCCCCCGAGCTCTGAGAGGATGGAGGCGGCCACCATCTTGGAGAGGGCATCTCCAAGATGG